TTAATGATTTATTACTATGCGATAAGTCAAGATTATTTTTTGTGTAGTCTTCTGCCCCCTGTTATCAGGTACATAGGATTTTGAGCGACGTTTTTACCATTAAATTACGCAAAAGGTTTGAGAAACCGTACGTATCAAGTATGAAACGTTTGGCATTACAGGGTTAAACCCCACCTCTTTTCTTTGGCTTTTGACACCATATAGAGCGTTGATGTTATGTATATACATGCATATTTTTATCCTGTGCGGGCAGTGTTTTTACTTATTTATATTTATTTTAGTGTTATCTATTTATTATGTATATCTTTTTGTGCAGCACTTTGGAAACCTTGTGTTTGTTGAAATCGTGCTATATAAATAAAGTGGATTGGATTTTATTTTATTGCATATTATATTTAGCTTGATTTGTTGGAGTTTGTGGGGCTTCGGTGGGATGACGATCAGTTTTGGGTTTTGTTGTCTGTCTGGAGATCGATTTCCTTCATTTGTCCTTTTAAAGGTTAGAAACGAAGAGGTGATTCCAATTTAAATGGATTTTAAGTACATGAGCAGAAACACAAGTTCATGACAGAGTTCGTGAGGAGAGATGCATGATGGGAGCCCCCCAGAGGGAGGAGAGGTGCATGATGGGAGCCCCGCAGCAGTGTTTGGGGGCCGATGAGCCCCCCAAGTTGTCGCTGGTATCCATATTGGTCCCACTAGGCTGTGGTCTGTGTGCAGGACTCAAGAAGCTGCTCTGCTATCCGCCTGCTAACGAGCAGCTAACGGCCTGCTAACGGTCAGCTGTCGGTCTGCTATTGGCCTGGCAACGGCCTGCTAACGGCCTGCTAACGCTAACGACCGGCTAACAACCTGCTAGGGGGCCTGCTAAGGCCGGCTAACAGACTGCTATAGGACAGCTAATGGTCGGCTAACAACCAGCTAACGGCCAGCTATCGGCCTGCTATTGGATGGCTATCAGCCTGATAACGACCGGCTAACACTCGGCTAACAGACGGCTAACAGACTGCTAACGCCCTGCTAACGGCCAGCTATTTTCCTGCTATCGGCTTGCTAATGGCCTGCTAACGGACAGCTAATGGACGGCTAAGGGACAGCTAACAGACGGCTATCGGACGGCTATCAGCCTGCTAACGGATGGCTAACGGACGGCTGCCAGCAGGGCTGCTGCTCTTCCTCCTTTCAGCCTAAACGCAGTCAGCTGGGATTCCACGTCTTTCCCAGAACGGGGAACAAATTGTGGGACGTTTGAACCAAAATTTCGTCTGACCGCCGTCGCACCCCCCCCCCCCACCTCCACCGTCTTTTAGCTTCTGACCTCTGATGGAGCCCAAATGAGGGAACTGAGTGAGGAACCGGAGGAAACGATGGGAGGCCTTTTTAGGCCGTAACGGAGGGCTCCTCCATGCTTGAAGTGGCTCCTTCCAAACTCTGAAGGGGTAAACGGGGGGGGGGGGGGCTTCCTTTCTCCACCAGAGAGAATGGACGGAAGTGGTGTTAGGGTGTGTGTGTGTGTGTCTCTGTGTGTGTGTGTGTGTATGTGTGTGTGTGTCTCTGTGTGTGTTTGGGGGGGCAGACAGCTTTGCACGGCTGTTATTTTGTTTGGGAAACCCTGGCGAGGCCTTGGCCCGAGTTTGGCACTTGAAGACAATAACAGAAGCCGCATTCCTGAGTGTGGCGCCGCAGGTCAAAGCCGAGGTCACGAATAATTTTTTATTTTTATTTATTTATTTTATTTTCACAACAAAAACATAAAAATAGTATTACGTTTCACTAAAAAAGAAAATGTGCTGGACAACTGCCAAAAAACCCTCAACGGGCTTAATGAGTGGCAGTCTCCATAAAAACAAATATATTTTACAATTTGAAACATTTATATGATATTGTGTAAAAAAACAAAATAACAAAAAAACAACAATAAAAACAACATTTCTTTGTATAAAACAATTTAAAATATAATTTAGACCACAAATTCATGTGGAAAAAACTTAGTAGCAGCAATTTTACTCTCTGTTTAAATTGTTCTTTAGAAAGATCTGTCAGTGTAGGGAGACTGTTCCATATCTTTGATCCTCTGTATAAAACACTAAACTGTGTTTGAGTTGTACGAGAGTAAGGAGGTCTGATAATTCAATTAAATTCAATTAAATTTTATTTATGTAGCGCCACATCACAACAACAGTTGTCTCACAGCGCTTTCCAAACAGAGCAGGTCAGACCCTACTCTGAAGTTAATTACAGAAACCCAACAATTCCCACCATGACCAAGCACTAGGCGACACAGGCAAGGAAAAACTTCCTTATAATATAAGATAACTACTACGAGTTGGATACTGGTGAAATTCATTATTAACTCATTGACTGCCAGCCATTTTCAGAACAGGGTCCCATACTGCCAGAGTTTTTTGAGCATTTTGACTGATTTTTCAAGAGCCACAGAATAGTTTGTGCTATGACTATGTAAACACCGAACACACCAAAAGAAAGAGTAGACTCTCTACTAAAAGCGTTTTTACCTTATTCCGTTCTTCCTGGACTTGCGTCTCACCGGCGTCATAGCGAACCGTTACCTTTTTCTTATTTGCCTACAGTCTATGCTCATCTCCCATCAAAAGTGGCACTGCCCCATAGAGGGTCAATTTGTTACTACATACTCTGTCTAGAAGCCTGATATTTACGGACAAGCTTTAGCAGATCGTCCCCCAAGCCAATTTCGCTGAAAAACATAAAAGACGTCTATAGACGTCTTTGGCAGCCAATGAGTTAAAAGTAAAGATATTACAAAAGTGCTGGGGACTAATGAACTGCCAGTGAGAGGCTGGGAGCCTTTACTTCTGCCCCTCGCCGCCGCCGCCGTCGCCATGGAAACCGAGGGCCCGGTGGTCAGAAGTCGTGCTTGTTTGGGGGCTTATCTGTAAGGCAGAGCTAATGTTGTTTTCTCCTTTTTTTTTGTGCGCTCGGAGAAAGCCTTTTGTGTCTTTGTGATTCAAATGGAGCCTTTTGGGCTCTCTGGGGTTTTTGTTTATTTATTTTTTCTCTTAATAATCAGGCTTATTTGTGCGTTTCTTTGCTCGCCGCTTTTAGAAATTCTGAAAATGCGTTTGCTTCTTTTTGTTCTGGAGCTCTGGGAAACTTTGGGGTGTCCTCACAGACTCCTGTCCAGTGGGAAGAAGCTTTGAGAGAACAGACGCACCTTTGTTTCTGCCCATCAGCTCTTCGGAGGCTGGGGGTAAAGATTCCCCCCAATTTCCCCTCTTTTTCCTCCCGTTTTCCCCTCATTTTTCCCCTCATTTTTCCCCGCTTTCCCCTCTTTTTCCCCCTGTTTTCTCCCCCGTTTTCCCCCCGTTTTCCCCTGGTTTTCCCCTGGTTTTCCCCCGATTTCGGCCCAGTTTTCCCCTCTTTTTCCCCCCGTTTTCCCCTATTTTTCCCCCCGTTTTTCCCTCTTTTTCCACACTACAACGTCTGGAACGTCTGGCGTGGAGATTTAAAGGGACATCGTTTCGTATCTTAAGTATCTTACTAGCTAAAATAATTTTCTTCATTTATAAATAAAAATTTAGTGTGAAATGACCTCTTTAATGATCCCCATTTCCCCCCCCGTTTTCCCTCTGTTTTCCCCAATTTTTCCCCCCGTTTTCCCCTCTTTTCCCCCCCGTTTCCACTTGTTTTCCTCTTTTTCTCCTCTTTTTCCGCACTACAATACTCTGCTTTGCCTTCCCGTTGTCTGCAGAGCCAGGAGATAAACCTAAACCCACAATTCAGAATGATTTACGGGTTCTTCGAGAGGGAATTCAGAGCAGCAAACACAAACAAAGCCGACAGCAAACCTGCACAATCTGAAGCCTGATGTCCACAGATTTGATGTATCGGCCCAAATCAATACAAACTAAAAAAGTTTGGACTTATTGTACAAACCTATTTAACATCCACTATTTTAACATAATATTATGTATAGAGTTTAATTCAGTGTTTGCTAGATTAATGTCACTATTTTTAAATGAATGTCTATATTGCCATGAAGCAATTAAGATTTTTTTGCCTGGGCTCATCCTATTGGTGACCTAATCAAAATGGCCGACTTGGATGTGGGTGGAGTCGGATATCCCTCCTTGGCTTCCTGCAGTCTGCAGCCAGACGTATTTGCATTTTTAACCCCTTCCACCTACAATATGCCTCACGTGATCTTGTCTGCATTTAGATTAACCTTCTCAACCTTTTTTTAAAATGTTTTATCATCAGCCAAAACAAATAACTCAGCTTTTCAAGCCTGCATCTGCAAAAAAGAATTGATTCCTCTTATTGAACGCATTGACGTGGTATTTATTTAATCCAGAGGCTTTGTGCTCCATT